AGCCAAAGGAAGTGTGGTGTGAATGAAGCTGGAGAGGGCTTGGCTGTCCTCCAAGCTTAAACGCTGAGTTATCAAGTCTTTGCAGAAGCAGTTGTGTCATTAAAGAGTACCCCAAAGTATACTGAAGCCTTCCATTTGGAGGCTCTGCTGCCTGTCTTTCCTGGCTTGTAAGGCAGGAGGCATTTGGCAGCAACTGCCTGCTATCTTACTGCCTCACTGCCTTCTGACTGTAGGGAAAGGGACTGCATTCAGAGTGAGCCTGAACTGCACGGCATTTTGCAGGTGCGATGGCCCGGGAGAGAATGTGGAAGAGATTTTGCAGATATTATTAGAGATATCACTTTAATGTTTAATGTGATTTCTGTGCATTTTTCTCCTAAGAGGAAAATCTATTTCTCTTATCATAGCATGGGTCTATAGACATGGGGGATAACAGAAATAATAACTGGCCTGGTAAATGAAAATATCTGGGACAATAATGGTGCATGTAGATCTGGTGATGGCCATACCTGAAAACACTTCTCCCAATGTATCTGAAGAGACTGTAAGTACAAATAAATTCACGGAAAGACATTTGGGACTGACTGCTCCACAATAAGAAACTCTAATGTTGTTGCTTTTTAAAAATCTGGGTAGCTCAAGTCAGCAAAATATTTACTTATTTTATCACTTAAATATTTTTTTGTCTAATATTTTGAGAGGTGCTGATAAACTTTAATCTGGAAGGTAAGTATAATACCTTCCTTTCCAAAGAGGAGAAAATGAGGCATTGATCCTAAACTTGTCTACTTTCCCAGAAATGAGTTAGTAAGTGAGCCTAGAACAGAGATCACAGATTGCCATACTAGAATTCTTGCAGAGAGATAATGCCAGTTCTTCGGATTTTGATTAATTTAGGATTTAAGGTTACTTAGGAATTTCACTTTTGAACTTCTATGCACCTCAAAAAATCAGTCTCTTAATCAGTTTAAATAGTGGTCCCAAAGATCAATTCAAGCATTTTCTGGTCTTAAGGTAAATGAATACTATTTTGAAAATTAGCATATATATGAAGACATATATAGTAGATACAGCTGTTAGTTTCATTTAAAGAAACAGAGCTAAGTAAATGTATACTTTCAAAATGTCCAGCCATGTTTTGCATGTAAATATTTCTTTACAGAATGTAAGTAATGGTTGAAGCAAATCTGGAGTTACTAAAATTCATATGCTCCCCTCTCTGAATGCAAAACCATGTTGTTTCTACTCTCCTCAGCCTCCTCCTCACTAATTCCCAAGCTGTTAGCTTTTTGTTTTTTCAGTGCTTCATGTGAAAACTTAACCTGCTGCTGAATTTATTTCATGTGGGTTTATGTTTTCCTCAGCTTAATGGTTTGTAACGCAAAATCATAAAGGTATAGCTGCTGCACACATTGCTTTTGGAGTCTCACTTGGCTATGAATTCTAACATTACACAAAAAGAAAAGTAGCATGGTCTTGAGCACTATAATTAATGTTTCTAAATTTTATTTCCTTGCTGTCCTGTCCACAGCTGTGTTATGCAGAATTTCTTCACTGAACATGTTCTTTGTTTCCCTCCCAAACCAACTGAGTAAAAATATGAGGAATTTTTACCCTCTGGTACTTTTTAGACAGTGCTTCTGTCTAATAAACCAGTATTTTATATGTTTTTGTTAATCCTAGATATGTATTTTGACATTAAAGTCAGCAACTAGAAATTAGAAAATTAGAAAAAAAAAAAGGTGTCATCTGTGTACAATAGTCCTGGTAAATTTAAAATTTCTGTGCATGGACCAAATGAGAGAAGGTAAGGAAAAAACCTCACCAATGTGCATAAAGACATGTAAGGACAAATGCAACTGAATATTAAAAAACCCAAACTACTCATATGGTGAAAATGAACTAAAATAAAACACCCATGTCTCAGTCACTCTGATATTTATAATTCTTCTTGTGATTTAAAAGCATTCTTAAAATCTCTTACCTTGATAATATCAGGTACCCAATTCCCCCTTTTTTGTTTGAAGTCTTCGGCATATTTCTGAGATCCTAGAATATGGGTTTACACGTCTTCCACCTCTGAAGAGAAAGGACAAGATTTTTTCTCAGATATTTTTCTAATCATTTTTATAAAGTGTATTTATTTTTCATTATTCATCCTCTCTCTGTGCTTATTTTCAAAACTTTACCTATTGAGCTTTTTTTTTCTGTTTCTGAACCTGTACTTCCATGCAATTTTCTCTGCTTGGCTAACAAAAAAAGTTGCCAGAAACATAATTTAATTTGCTACAGTGCTTTACAGTACCTATTTGCTATTAATCTGTATAATTATACTGCATTGGACTCTCACAGCAAAGTCTTAGCCATTTATTTTTGCTTATTTCCATGCACAAAAAAGAAAATATCAAAGAGAAATAACAAATTGCCTACCATATTATTTATCTTCAGCATTTAATATTTTGTCAGTTAACTAGGCCCTGGAATAAGGGAAAGGTACTCCTTGCATCACTAATGACAGATGTCACAAACACCGACAAACTTTGGCACAGAACTACAGAATAACGTGTGTGTGTGTGTGTTAAGTTGTGGGAAATTATTGGTAAAATTTGGTTTAAAAAAAAAAAGGCAGAATATTAGAAGCAATGTTCTAAATAGGTTATTGGAAACTATTTGGTAGCTTTCCAAGCTCTGAAGGCAGCACATGTGTTTTCAAGACTAGAAATCTACGAGTTGCTCCTGAACTAGAGATCAGAGTTGAAAATAAAATACCTGACAAAAGGGGCCTCAGTTTCAAACTTGATGCACATTTTTGGAATCATTAGACTCTGGGTTCTCTTATATGGCCAACGTGAAAACCAGCAAGAAAGAAAATGGAGTGCCTACTGAAAATTTTAATGACCACTTTTAGAAATGCATTCTTCTCAAAATTATGCAGCTCTAAAAAAATAAGTATAGTATAGAACTAAAATGACCATGCTACTGGTTTTTGGAGCATGACATTTTGACATTTCTCTGATTCAAACCAACATTTCTAAAGAAGCTTTCAAGATAGTCGCTAGACGAAACACAGTATTGAAAACCTACTCTATATCTTTTGAAATATAAATAGAAAGACTCCCATTGATAACAGTGGGAATGCATGATGACCTTTTGCTAATTTGAAAGTACAGGAGTTTGAAATGGTGATATTTGAAACCAGAAATGAAGCTTACAGCCTGAATAATATGCACTGTACTTTTTGTCATTTTTGTTGCATAATGCCAGAATTCATTTACTATGCTAAAGGTGCATGTGAGGATTTTCTTTTAAGGCAATTAAAATCAGTGACAAAAATGAACCATTTAGAACACCCTGTTACTCATTAACAACAGAACTAAGATGTCTTTACACTGTATAATTCATTTGCTCATTTTTCCCTGTAATGAGTAGACAGTATCTACAGATAGAAAGCTATAGGATTTTTATAATGGGTAACAGGAGCTTTTGTGCCTCCCAATGATGAAAGTAAAGGCTTAGATTTTTCTAAAGACTAAGAATATAAGAATATTTCATAAATATTCAGTAATAGCATGACAGCTATGCCCCTCAAACGTTTTCTAAAGCCTGGAAAAAAATAGGGAAAAGATTAATGACACAATGTGGAGATGTAGTATGAGAAACTACCCTGTCCTATTGCTGAATTAGGTCAACAAATACAACTGTTCCCTTTTGCACCTGATTCAAGCATTATATAAGTGTGCTACCATTCTTTGCTGAAGAACCAGAAGTACTTGATTCAGTCATAGCCACTTTCTCATGGAGAGAGATTAAATTGAATCCGTAATTGCACTATGTTATCACTACAGAATTCCCCTAAACAATGCTAGAAAATACACTATGTGGTTATTAAAATTTCTGTAATGTTATTTTAGTATACTGCGGTGTTATTTAATGTAACCATAATAATCATTGGTTTAATTTTTGGATATGGACCCATGCATTTTCAAATGTTTTCAAATTTACATTTTAAGCCATTACATTATTTTGTTTATTTCCGAATGCTGTTTGTGCGTGGCATAACACAGGTGTTCATATATGGTGTAAGAGTAAAGCTGCCATGACTTTCTGAGTTTCTAATGATTAATTTCTTGGAAGAATCACGAGGAATCTTCCTCATTGGTTTTAAAGGACAATCCTCCAGATATTATTTTGAACAGCTTGAGTTCTTTAAATGCTTCTCAATATAAAAACCTGTTAAGATCTTCCAATTTTCTACCGGTATCTCTTCAATACACATTATTTCAGGAAAGGGGATAAATTACTGTTATTTTTACCAGAAAAAAATGTCTTTTCCTGAGGAGCTCGGCGCACGTTACTGATTTACACCTACACCCATGAAGGTTTATCCAGGTGCCGACCGGCCCCGTTTCTGAGGGAGCTGACAAGGGGGTGGCGATGGGAAGACCGGGGACAGCCCTACGGCAAAAGCGGGCCTGGGCCTGCTGCTGGGAGCCTCGGGGCGGTGACCACCCCCCGCTGCAGTTGAGAGGGGAACCCCAGGAGTCCTTCGCCCGTAATTTCAGGGCTTTTTCTCCTCAGAACCCCCGAGCGAAAGGACACCAACAGCTGCCGAGCTGGCGGAACCTTGAGAGGCCGCCTGGTGCCTCACCCGGTCTAAGGGGAAGGACGGACACCCACTGCCCGCCTCGCCCCGGGATATTGCCTCCCCAGGGAAAGGGGGCTGCCCGCCTATCAGGGAGGGGTCCGCCGTGGCCCCCGCCGTCAGCCCCGCCCACAGGCTGGCTCCCTCAGCCCCCGTCCGGCGACCGGCGGGAACGGCGCGTCAAGCCGTGAGGCAGCACGAGCCCAGCTCTCGCGATGGCTCTCTGAGGCCAGCAGCCGTTAACGGCCGTAAGCTGGCGGCGCGCTGTTTACGGCGGCGTAGCCAATGGGAAGGCGGGGCGCGCGGGCGGGGCCGCGGAGCCCGGCCAATGGGCGGGAGGGGCGGTGCGTTTAAACCGGGCCGGGGTGCAGCGGGCACGGCGTCCCTGTGGAGAGCGCGGCGGTGGAGCTGCCATGCCCGGCCGTCCCGACGACTACGAGGTGCTGCTGACCATCGGCGCCGGCTCCTACGGCAGGTGCCGCAAGGTGCGCCGCAAGGCCGACGGCAAGGTGAGGAGGTAGCGGCGGCGCCGCTTGCGTGCCTATAGCGGTGCCGTCGCCGTCGGTTTGAACGGGGTGCTTGCGGCTCTCCGGGATAACCGAGTGGCTTTGAAGGCCCCTCTCCCCCCTGCAGAGCTCTGGCTTGTGTGTAAGTCTCTCCTTAAGGTGTTTTTTTTCTTTTATCCCCCGCTAGATCTTGGTATGGAAGGAGCTCGACTATGGCTCAATGACGGAGGCAGAGAAGCAAATGCTTGTTTCGGAAGTGAACCTGCTTCGCGAGCTGAGGCACCCCAACATCGTGCGGTACTACGACCGCATCATCGACCGCAGCAACACCACCCTCTACATCGTGATGGAGTACTGCGACGGCGGTGACCTGGCCAGCCTGATCGCCAGGTGCACCAAAGAAAGGCACGTGAGACCTCTCTGTGGCCATTCTGGAGTATCTAGCGTGAAGCCTTTTGGGCAGTCAAAAGAAAAGCAAAACCTATCTTTTCTCAATAACTTCTGAACGGTTTAATGTCTAATCCTTTGGATGCACCAGCTCGTTTGAAATGTGAAATGTTTTGTAAAAAATTACAACACAGGGAATTGCAGTAATGAATGCACCAACTGATTGCATGTTTACATTGAAATAGCAAAAAACCTGAGCTCCTGAGCTGTCTGAAGAGGCAGAAGCCGTTGGAGGGTTTCTGGATGTAATGCAACACATGGGGCTGAAAACAAACCAGCAAGTCAATTCTTGCAGAGAGATAGCTTGATCTGTGGCTTCTTCTGGCTTGCCCATCAGTAAAACCACTTCTACCCTAATTTTTTGTTAGACACCAAAGCACATGAAAGGGAAAAAATGATTTTTAACACGATGTTAAAAGGTACTTTATGTACCTGGATGTATAGCTTGTGGAGACACCAGGCTTATAAGACTTCACCTTAGCCTAATCTTAGATAACAGTCTATGTCTTGAGTATAATATCAGTTTTAACATTCTTGGGTTAAACAAGTACGTGACACTACATGTGTTACTTTGAGAATAGTCTAAAATGGTGCTGCAGCTGCCCCTGAACATCAGTGTTTTCACTTAAGGAAGATTATATTAAAATCAGTCCTGTCTTGGTGGTGTTGTATGTTGCTCATTATAAACAGCTGACAAGATACTGTTACCACAAGTGATCAAGGTGACAGATCTCGTCATAAAAGCTTCAATTCGATATTTATGTTGTAACTAATGGAAACACTGCATATTTGTTAGACTCTTAAGGGAGGAAGGAAATATTACAGGGAGTCTGTGACAGAAATCTAGATGCCTTCCAACATATTTGGAGCAATTCTTTATTTTTTTTAAAGTTTCCATTTTAAAAATAGGATATGTAGATGCCTGTTGGTGCTGGTTTTCAATGAAGATGTTGATTCAGTGATGTTTTATAATAGTACTATTAAAGTTACAGAACTAAGACTGGCTGCAAATATTTGAACTTATATATGCTTGGGGTATACATTCATTAAACAATGTGTTCATCTTTCAGGCACTACTTGGAAGAAAGCTTTGTTCTCAGAGTACTGACTCAATTGGCATTGGCCCTGAAGGAGTGTCACAGACGGAGTGATGGTGCAGTCACTGTGCATCGTGACCTAAAACCAGCAAATGTCTTTCTAGATAGCAAGCAGAATGTGAAACTTGGAGATTTTGGACTGGCTAGAATATTGCACCATGACACCAGCTTTGCCAAAACATTTGTTGGAACTCCATATTATATGTCTCCAGTAAGATGTCCCTTCTGTGCCTTATCTTTCCTTTTCTCCCTCCAAGACTGTTTTTCTGCAGTGATGGTTTCAGAGTCTATGAATGTTTGGGGGGTTTTAATGAAAAGTTACTAGTCTTAAATGCAGGTGACTTTTTTCATAGTGTATATGTTCTGGAGACAAAGTTATTTTGCAGTAATCTTCATCTCCTTCCCCACACTGTCACTGCCTTCTAATTAAAGTTGGTTTTTACTGTATAAGTTCTGATATGCTCTTGGAATATTAGAGGTATGTTGGAATATATTGCTCCTGAAAAGGAACAGGGAAGCTAGAGAGTTTTTATATTTCTTAGTGTTAAAGTAAAGATCTTATTAAATTACCTCTTGATAGTATTATTTTAATCTGTAGTGGATACGGGCAAGAATGAGTTATTACCCTGATATGGGGCACTTTATGTGGGGAAAAATTAATGTTGACTGAAATAATGGAATAGTATCAGCTGAAGACTGGTGCAACATTTCAGTCTTCTATAGTGTAATATGGCTCTAACTTGTTAAAATTCTGCTAGTAAGAGTAGCTGTGGGGATTGAGATGGAATCTTAAAAGTAACCCCAGTAAGGAGTGGTTTAATTCAGGTTTGAACAGTAGCTGATCCTGCAGTAGTAGAATGATGTCTTAATGATTGTAAGATTGTTCTTTTTCCTTAGGAACAAATGAACCACATGTCATACAATGAAAAATCTGACATATGGTCTCTAGGATGTCTCCTGTATGAATTATGTGCTCTCTCGTAAGTATTTATGATACTTTTTAAGATGAAAATAAGTCACATAAAACTAGTGAAAGAATCAAAGAAAAATGTTTTTCTTCAGGCCTCCATTTAGAGCTTACAACCAAAAGGAGTTGGCAGAAAAGATAAGGGAAGGGAAGTTCAGACGAATACCATATCGTTACTCAGAGCAGCTGAATGAACTTCTCAAAGAGATGCTTAATGTGAAGGTAAGAATCAATTACTAATTTTTCCACCTATAATTTGAACTAGTACTGAAATACTAGTTTTCATTCTCAGATATGAAACAAACTGAAGTAGTGGTTGCTATCACCATGTCACTGGCAATATCATTTGTAGGGGAAGGAGGGAGGAATTGTGCTTTTGAGTCCATTAAACAAAGACAGCAGCTCAAATGTTATTCCAGGTTCACAGGATGAAAAAGACTGTCTCAATATTGGCTTGTACACAGTTTCCAAACAGGATGCTTTGCAGGGTCTTATAAGTTCAGGGTTAAAATGGTTCCACTGGGTTTGGAAGTTGGAAGGGGGTTTTTTGTCTTCATGTCAGATTTTGCTTTATATGGCTAATGTGTAGCTTGCCCCCCACGGCTGGCATGGGGATGTTAAGAATACTGCAAGGGACAACAAAAGCTGTAATAAGGACCCAAATCTCCAACTGGTGTGGATCCTTCAGGGATTAAGTGACTGGTAGCAATGCAGAGTGTTAACTCCAGAACCTACTGACAGCTGCTCCTGTAATCTCACCACCCCGTTCTGGCTCTGAAAGGAGCGAGCACCTGGGCTGGGAGAGCCAGATTTGCAGCTTCTGGAGTTTGAAGGCTTGTAGCAGCAGCCTCCTCCACTATCTTTTGTCATCTGGTTGTGCTACCCCTTTCTAACTCTATTTTTCTCCAGCTTCTTCACTGTATAGCACCTCAGCTGGTTTCCACCTGTGGTGGGTCTTGCTTGGGGATCCCTGGCCTTAATATTTCTTGGTTACAAAGGGAACCTGTTGGTAATGTGTTCCCTTTAGGATTATTGCCGACCTTCTGTTGAAGATATTCTGCAGCACCCCTTGATAGCAGACTTGGTGACAGAAGAACAAAGACAAAATTCTGATAAAAAAGGCTGGAGATCATGGGATGCAGAAAGGCTGCAGCATTCGGATGTTGCAGTGAATGAGCTGAGACAGAAGGAACAACAATTACAGGACCGAGAACAAGCCATTAAAGAGAGAGAGCGACGTTTGGAGCGTATGATATTCTGCTTTGGGAAGGGGGTGGCAATGGGATTCTGATTCAAACGAATAAGTGTGGAGGAAGGAAAGATAGACGGTTTTCAAAACCCTCATTTTAATGCACTAGGATACTGTACCACTGCATTCACTACTAGAATTCTGTCTAATGACTAAAACAAGAATGCTTGGGCTTACTCATCTATACTAGTTCTTGTTTTAAGTTACTAAGACAGAATTAGCTGTTTGGATATAGAAGTCTGGTTTGGGAAGATTATTAAACGTGAGTGGCAATTTGGAAAGTATACAGAAAAATAGGTTCTAAATATATACTGCACTGTGCAGTAGAGGTTGCTTTTCACCTACTCTGTAGGCTAACATTGGTTATACTAATGTGTAGCCTAAGGTGAGCTTGATGTTGGAGCAAAATATACTGGAGTAAACTGCCAACTGCTTTTATAAAAGTTGCACACCACAGGTAGCTTACCTGTGAAACTGTATAGATGGCCAGTCCTCAGGTGTTGGGATTTCCTACCCACATAAAATGCCCCTTTGCATATGCAGTAGGCTCTGTAATACAGATTTCAACCATATATATTTTCTGAGCCTGAGTAACTGCTGCTGCTGTTGTAAATAAGGTGTTTAGTCATAGCTGAATTATAGGATCTAAATATTTATATCTGGTGCCACGTGTGCCAGGAGTTAATGTGCAGAATGGAAAACTGCTATAGCCACATTGTGACAGTTTGGAGGGACAGGGGGAAGAGCATGCCTGGCATCTCACAGTACTTGTCCAGTGCTTTATCAGTGCCTTGATAAAGGTGTATCTACACAGCAGTTATCTTTGTTTAGAGCCACAGAAGCAGAAATATGGGTGCATCTGACTACTTCTGCAAAAAAATCCATGATTCACAATCACTCTGATGTTAACACTTACATTTTAACACTGCATACTACCATATTTCTACTTCCAGAGAGAGAACGGGAACTCTGCATCCGAGAGAGACTGGCAGAGGACAAACTTGCTAGGTATCTTACTAACCTATAATTGTCTAGATTAAAACTCTACAATCTTTCAGCAAGAAGTTTAAAGTCTCTCTTTTCAAAACAGAGCTGAAAACTTGATGAGGAACTACAATCTCTACAAACAGCAGCGGATGGTAGCTTGTGCAGATGGTCCAGGTATGAAAATACATAAGAATCCACTTCCACTGACAAATGTAGACTGGTATGACTGGAGGAATGCCCATGATGTTCAACATGCTGTACCTAATCCCATTATATCAATACAAGCCCCAACTATGTCTGCATGGTTGGGAAGGGACTACTTATTTTCTGGTTTGCGGAGAGACTTGAATAATGCTCAACCGTGGCTATGATTTACCACTGTCAACGCAGCAGTTCTGTGCTGTTTTGAAAACTAGGTTCTTGGGGAGAGCTCAGGGAAGTGCTGACTTTTCTCAGAGCTGTACTTATTTTACTGGATGTCTTTTTATAGACCTTTGTTTTAGTTAATTTTAATAAAACTGCACATGTCTAATCACTTCAGCTTTAGTTCAACTTTCAAAAACTTCAAGGTGGGAAACAGTATTTGTTGCAAGTGACCCAGCTGTGATTGGTGTATCATAAGCTCCAAAGAATATAAACTGCTCCAGTTTAACTGACTGGGGGGTGGGAACCCCACCCACAAAAAAGGCTTTGAAAATATGCTGTACTGCTTCCTGACTACCTCTAGTCCAATCTGTTTTAGAGTAGTTATTAACCCATAAGTAGGGCCTTGGTTGTTCAGTCCTCACTATTGTAACAGGTAGTATCAGCTGTTCATTGCACTCATCTTTTACTATTAAAAATGATTCAAGAACCTAAATGCATTTTGAAATACTGGTAGGTTGTTAAATGGCTAGCTCCTAAGCAGTACTACAGACCAAAGAAATGTGAATATCCTTTAACATGCAGCAATCTCTTCATTTAGTTTTGATCAGGTAAAGCAAGATAAGCGTGTCACTGCCTCTAGTACAAATAAAACCGAAGTGCCTATCACAGTAGGAAAGAACACACCAGAAGTTAGTGGTACTTAAGCTATTTCTGTCAATTTTGAGAGTTCCACCTGTCTCTCAACATATTGCCTGACTTTGATACATTAAGGAATACAAAACTAAGAATAAGCTTGCCTTGAGCTTTCTGTTATTGCCTCTAACACTGGATTACTGAAGCTAAATGAGCGTCAGCTTTTGCCTCTGTTTTCTTCTGCATCTCCTACCTCTTTACAAGATATTTTGACCTTAACAGGGGTATTAATTTTTTAAGATGGGCAAAACCACTTTGGGGAGTTAATACCTTGAGACAGACAATGCAGAAAAGTGAATATAGTTACCACAAGGCTGACCAAATCTTGCAATATCTATAGATCACTTGATTAAACATCTGTTAGGATGTTTACTACTCCTCCAATTCATTCTGTGGTACTCTTCTAATACTGTTTCCTAAATTTTCCCCGTTCTGAGTATTTCTCCAATATGTGTACCAAGCTCACTTGCTTATGTTATCTTCAGTTGCTCAAGTATTTCTATATTTTTCACAACTGGATTGCATCTCACACATCTCTTACATCAAAGTCAGTTGTGTGGTTCACTTCACAGTAAAATGGAATACCAAAAATTCTGCTTTCTAAGATAGTGTCCTACACACAACCCTATTTTTGCAGGGATTTCTGGATTCTTAGGGAAGGATTTAATGTTAAAACACATACAGCTTACTGATATGAAACTACAAAATGCTGAAACATTTGCAGGCCTCTGCACTTGGGTGGTCCTCCCTCTTTTGTGCTTACTGCATCCTTGCTCTAGCCTAATGAATTGAAAATTAAGGCTTCATCAGCATTAAGATTAGGACCTTTGACTTAAAAAAAAAAAAAGAAAATAATAAATTACACCTTAAGTAGAGCCTTGTGAAGTTGGCTCTTATGAGGGACAACTCAGCTGTTTTAATAGGGTACAAAAACCATGAAAAGCCAAGTTATTAAAAAAATCATAGAATTGTAGAATGGTTTGGGTTGGAAGGGACCTTAAAGATCATCAGGTTCCAACCCCCCTGTCAGGGGCAGGGACCAAGTTGCTCAAAATAAAACAAAGTAACTGCCTTTTGATTGTGGCGGTTCTATACCGCTAAAGCACAACCATACTATAAAAATGCCTTTTCTGGAGACTGCAGTGAAAATAACTTTTTAATTTTTCATGCACCTAAATTCATCAGGTCAGAGCGGAGTTTGTACCCCATTGACTTAATACAAGGATAGAGTTGGAACAATGTGGGTGATGTAGAAACACCACTGTACAGGCTGTGTCTGCCCCTGCTATGAGGAAAAGACAAGGTTTTTCAGTAGCTGAGAGCCCAATTCTCCATTTCCCTGTGGATCTGGATTGTATTACTGTTTAATTTCTGTATTTACCCTTATGTCAACTAATATTTCCTTAGCTGTTGGGAGGTGCACCTTAGAAACTACAACATATATCCTTTTACCAAAGTCATTTAAAAGCCTTGTTTTCAGTTTTTCCTCATAAAATGGAACAGAATTCTTGCTATGAACTGAAATGCATTTAATTAGATCACTTAAAGCCATAGGCAGATAGCAAAATGGGTAACAGGGTTAAAAGACCTATGCAATACATGTTGAAAGATGCACTAATTCAGTATTTATCTTTTGATTTCTTAAGATAACGCACTCCTCCCCTTTTCTACAACCAAGAAGAAAGTACACTTTGATGGAAGTGAAGAAAATGCTGTGCCTCCTGTTAATTTGGAAAACTATGCACCTTCTAAAGAGAAACGCTCTGATCTCAAAAAACGTCTATATGCTGCAAATCTACGGGCTCAAGCACTGTCTGAACTGGAAAAAAACTATCAACTAAAGAGCAGACAAATCTTAGGCATGCGCTGAAACTGTAACAGATGTAAAATATTTAAGTCTTAGAAGCTGATTAAGTGTATGGGAAGATACTTGTACCTCCCTCTTTCAAACTGGAACCTACTGAAAATTTATTTTAACAGTTGTTATACAAACTCTTAGTCTATGATACGTAGTTACGATAAAAGCATAAGAGATTATTTTATGAAAACAGGTAGATTTAATACCAAACAAACTGAATGAACTGTATTATTAAAGAAAAAATATTTTTGTCCTCCTGTTTACCGTAGATAACTTTACTGAAAATATAAAGAGTGAACATTGTAAAACAGATAATTTTAAATCTTGTGTGAAAGGCTTTTCAGATGAAAAATGTACAGAGATTCATAGTCTGTAGGTTAAAATGAAGCTGTATGTAGTGTACAGTTCTTGGTAGAAGAAGTATTGATATTTTGTATATGTGGAAAAACTGGCTTTTTGTCTGCATTTGTAAATATTTTTTAACTATCAAAAGAGCAAAAAAAAGATTTTATGCTGTCTCTTCCTACTAAGTAGGTGACCTATCAAAGCAGGCTGCTTTTAGTTTAACGTCTTCGACTAATGAGCGGGATGGGTCAGCTTAGCATAACTGATGAGTTTATCCTCCTTTCTGCCTGGGCAGCTGAAGGCTTGTCCATCAGCTCCCAAAAGGCCTGCTTCAAGGCACAGCATTTGAAACACCACCTTCTTTGGTTTGCCTTGAAGCTGTGTTATAAACTGATCCTGAGACCACTGTCCCGGATGGGGACACCATCCAGGGCATCAGCACCCATGTTTGGGGAGGGGCAATTGTACTTTGAGTAGCAAATCCTTATTTTCTTGAAGTTTATGAGGTATCTCCATCTTTCCCTTCACAATTCTCTGCCAGAGTAGGAGTTGCTCGTGGTGTAAGTTTCATGAAATAACTCAGTCTCATTAATTCTAAAAAAATCCTGTGGAGCTGTAATGTCTGACAGATTTTACATAAAGATTTTCTGTCTCTGGGTTGAAATGCCATTCTTAGAAAACAGCTAATTTTCGAAACATTTGTTTCCTTGTTAGGCCATGAATGTTATCCAAGGAGGTATTCTAGATAGTTTTTACTCAAAAAAAAAAAAAAAGAGAATCTTACTCGAAACATCAATTTAATTTGGTGTATTTGCTGATTGATAGACAAAATCTTGTGTCACCAAACAATAGTTCTGCTTTAGCAGACTCTTAACTACCCAGCAGAGCTTATCATCTGCAAAAAGCAGGTACCAATTAGTGAGATGAGGAAGCCAAGCAAGCAAGAAAAGAAATAAGTAATTAAAGATTCAGGAAAGACTGTATTTTGGAACAGCTGGTGTTTGAAAATGCTTTGCTTTTAACAAGACCAAAGTAAGAAAATGCCTTGAGAGTCTTTTTTTTTTTTTTTCTTGGAATATATAGGTGGATCAAATAATTTCTGCATTTAAAAGTAAAATACCTTCAGAGCAATACCTGCAGCTTTTCTCTTCCTTTAATTCTCAGGTGACCTCAAGATGGCACTGTTGCCTTGTAATTGGTGGGAATTTCCTTTAGTCTACTGATAACATTCCTACAAAATTTAAGATCTGTTTTAAATCTATTTTTACCTGTTTTGTTTCAGAAAATCGTAAGTGTGTTGCTGCAAGATGCTAACTTTCTTAGGCTACAGACACTTTAGTACTTGCTGGTGCAATTAATTGTAATTATCTCCAATTTGCCATTTTGCATGTTTTATAAAAATAGTTGAATCACAGTTCTAGTTAACAATTGCACTACAATGAATAAGAAATGCTACGGAGAGTGCAAACTGTATCAATCACAATGGCAGTAATAAATGAGAACAGCTTAAGTCACAGCTGTAGCATTGAACCATTTAAGCTGCATTACTCACAATGTCTTCTTGAAATATTATCACTCTAATATGATAAATGCAGTGTTTCTTGAGGTTTTTGAAATAAGAGCTTCCTCGTGTGTCTGACATAGGAGAAGGCATCCTTGAAATGGTCTTCATTCTCTCTCAGGATTCTTGCTTAGGAATCAAATTCACATTTTCCTACAAAGGCGTAATTGTTTTTCTTGGAGCACGTGTGTAGCATTGGAATTGCATTCGGGATGTAATTTTCAAGCACATTCAGGAAAATTCCCACATTTATGGGAGTAGTGACTGCTTATACAGTGCTTGCAAAACATTGCCATCACGCTGAAGCGTGAACTTATCTCTTAAAAGTGATGGTAAATTTTACATATGTATATGACACAGCTTCAGCCTTACAGGATTATAATAATGGTGTACACGGTTGAATGTTGGGAGATTAATTAATATTTAATATAGATATCAAGAATTTTAATAATGTGTATTGCTGCGGGCACACAAACGATGTGAAGTTACCTCTGAAGTTGCAGAAGTTCTATATGCACAGAATGTAACTTAGCTCAAGGATAGACCAGAAGGAAAGTTTCATCATCTTTGAAAAATGTGGACCAGGTCCCTGATTTGGAGCCTTCCTGTGAACCTTGATCAAGACCCTGTCCCAGGCCTTAGGTTCCCCTCTGTACCAGGCTTGTCACAGGGGGGAGCTCGGAGACAGCACCCGGATCCTGTACGGGTCTTCTGCACTTTGGGCAGATTTTCCTGGTAGTGGCACAACCACTTTGGTCTCCTACTTCGGGCAGCTGTGCATGTCCTAGGGAATGGAATTTACTGGGGAAATAATGGTGAGTTACCAAAGTAATTTATTTAATGATTAGCCTGGTCAATTGTCCCCTCTGCAGCCAGTTGACCAGGGCATTCCATGTGACTACAGTGCTTAAAAGGTGTGAAAGTGCTGGCTAGCTGGGCAGATAAAACGCTTAGTGGAAATCAGGCTTAAATATAGAGGACCATCAAGCCTCTTTAAAAAAAAGAAATCAATAGGTCATTTAATCCGTACCATATCATCGGAGAGGTGGAGAGAGAAATCCCTCTGGAACAATTACAAAATACTTTATCATACGTAATGTTTCCCAAGGGGAATTTCACATTTTCCCCTTACTGTTGTGAGTAACCCAGGTGAAAGTGATCTGCTAATCCTAATAATGACACAAGCTGTTTCACAGGTGCTCACTGCAAGAATCCATCTCCTGTAGCTTCCTGCAGGTATGAAAAACAGCACAGAGCAGAAGGTCCCTGCTATTGCTCTTGTCTTCATCCGAAAAAGAGAGATTGTTCCTCACTTATGCTGCTCGTCATCCTGGCGTCTGTGTGTACCTGTTGCTGTGCTGATAAAGATGAGGTCCATTTCCCGGTAAGTAACGCTTCTAGCATTCACAGGCCAAAATAAAATTGGACCCAATAATGGTACAGTGAAGCCTTTGGGTCATATCTTTGGCTTATTCTTCCCTTGAGTAATTAGTGTGAAGCCAGAGGAACCCTAGTAGCTATAAGGCTGGTGTAGCGGGCACAGACGCTGCAGCCTACCCTGGGAGCCTGCTTAATAGGCATTTAGCACCAGGGAAGACTTTGGCCTAATTAAGGCTACACACAGTTTAATCCGCATTGGGTATTAGAAGTGAGTTTTATTTATATATTTACCTTAAAAGTTAGCTGGAAGTTAAATATTAATCTTTACAACTTTAAAAAGCTCCACGGACTGATAGCGTAAGGCAGCATATTGTTATACTGCTTTTCCATTTAATCTTGCTTTCAGCCAGGTCAGCAATGCTGGGAAGTTACTGTACTAGAGGCAACAGCGCCTTTATCCAACATATTATTTTGAAGGCAAAGTGCACTTCTGAGGCTCAGCTGCCATGAAAGGGTGAAGCTTTGTTGGAAAAAAAATAATCCTTTGTATTCTACAAAATGGACTCATGCCAGAGTTACATGATACAAAGAGCAAAGAAAGGATACAGAGACACCTAGAATCAGCTAGCTCTAGATAGTCTTATTTTTCAATGTAGGCTCTTCCTTGGTAAGAAAACATAACATATGTATGAAAACTTTTGTTTAATTAACTTTCATTTTTGACTAGTTTAATTTTGGACTGGTGGACAATGCTTGCTGCTGAGCTACCTGATTCAAGCAGAGGTAATTTATGGACCCAGTTATTACTGCATTGTTCTCTTCTGTGAATATAACATTGGTCTCAATGCATTATGGCCACTTCCTTGGCAACTGAAACTCTGTCTGGGACATGACATGCAGGGAGTAATAACCAATAATGCAGCTTCCACTATCAACTTTCATATGTAGTTTTTTGGAGTAAAATTAACGGAACATGCAGATTTATGAGGAATATGGCAGGTACTTAGCAGGTGCTTGAATACTTGGCTAGAGCTAGTATAATTTTTTTTTCCATTACTCATATGAGTCTGAAAAACTTTTCCTAACTGCAAAGATAGCTGCTAAATACTTTTTTACTGTTTAATCAGCTCTTTTAGCAGGTCCTGTTCTTGCAAAGTCAGTGGAAGCAAGTGTATACATAATACAAATTTTTGCACATGTTTGCATCAGTTAAAATCCCAAGGACAGAACAGAAGCCCAGTAAAGCCAATGACAAGCTTTCCTTCAAATTCAGTGAACCCTTGGCTGGACTTCAACTTCATTAGCATTAGATGTACTAGACATTTGTAAATACTTACGCTTGTTTACTATTTGGGGAGGAAGGCACAGTAGGAACAAATGATCCATCTTCCTCAACAGAAGCGAAGACAAGCCACTTTAGGTAGAGCTCTCCATTTTGGCTTCTACCAAATCGGACTTTCTTTGACAAGAATTGCATCAATAGCCCTCTGGCAAGCTTGGGGATCGCACAGACCTCTCCAGAGTTGTATGTAGTATTAGGGAACAGGGAATACGGTTTTTTTCTGCTCAGAATGTGTTTATCATCCAATTGCAAATAGAAGCAATATTATCTACCTGGCCTCTGAGCTCTTCCTGGACCATCCAGTGACCCCAGAGCTAGATGGTTATTTAGGTCATCCAGGAAGTTTAGAAAAACCCTTCCTGACAAATGCAAGTGTTAAAGTCACTGCCTGACTTTAGTACTAATTGCCATGTAAAGGCTTTTCTGACTACTACTAATCAATGTTTAGATGCCACTAGGGAAAGATAATATGGACTTTCTGAGACCTGGATGATAACATAAACAAAGTCATCAGGGCAAATGGCAGATCATGACAGATAATGATTTCCTGAGAGGTAAAGCAAATACCTCCTATGGCAATGATCCACATAATTAGCTGTACTGGATTATAAGTACTTTGTGGTTGCAACTAAAAGCAGGAGGAAGCATTAGCATTAAAGAAAATGATATCATCAAGGAAGTATTCAGTTGATTGGAAAAATAACAGATTTTCATTGGAACTATTACAGAATTACCTTTAAGGCACATTTTAAATATTTCTCCCCAGGTGAACTGAAAGCTAGGAAAATTTCACCATTGTGCCAGTTTCTTTCTAGAGGTACAACTGTGATCAGAGAAGTGCTGCTGACGCATGATGCACTCAAAGGGATCTGTCTGCCTTTAAGGCTTCTAAGACTGAAATCTAGACCCTGCATTGTCAAAGTTCAGGAAATATTTCTAGGCAGAGCCCTGGAAACCATGTTTCAGAGGCTTATAACAGAATTTTTGTATGAACAACCACAGCCTTCACTTGTGCATGTTTTTAACTTCCTTCTGTGTTCATTTTGCCATTTCACGTTCTGGCTAAAAGAATCCATGGCGGACTCGTAACTGCTGCTAATTTGCACTTGCTGCTGGCATGGCTGTGGGTGCAAACCAGACAGTTAAGTGTTGGCAAGAAGCAGTGAGTTAATCACGGCCTTGGAAGCGTGGTCCTCTGCTTGTGCTCCAGGGAATGATCTCAACTGAATGGCAAAGCCCAGCCAGGGATCTCAGCCTTGGGTTTGTTCCAGGCAGTAACCATGAGGTTTTTTTCACATTTGGCTCTGTAGTAACTTCTTACATAAAATCCTGGAGCCTGGCTCAAATTGACCAGATGTTCTAATGGTCACTTACTTTTTTAATCCTATTTTTTTAGAGTTTATATTCCATCTTCAAAGCCACTTTTGGGATGTGAAATAGTACTTGCTACAGAGGTCAATTCTAAGCTCAGCACTATCGCACTGATTTGCAGTGTTTGCAAGTGGCCTGCCAAGTGGCATTCTCAGCTGCATGCAAAACTCTCTGCAAGTAATGAGAGTTGTTTCTAAAGGCTTACTCCAGGTCCTGCCCCTGCACCCCCTACCAAGCTGTTTCTCCACATCTTCACCCTGGGCAAGCAGCCAACTTTCTCAAAAAAAAAAAAAAAAAAAAA